GCCCTATTGCTAGAGTTGACCAAAATACTGGCAGAAGTAGATTCACAAGTTCAATGCACATGTAAACCTCATAACATACACAAGGAAGTGAAACCAAAAGTAAATGCCTCACTAACACCGTTTCTACAAACATGACTTAAGCCACTTATTCTTAATTGGATAATTATCTGCATTTGACATTGATAAGATATCAAGAGAAGCTTACAGAGGAAATATTCTTGGCTTATCAATCAATAACAGTATCTACGACAAAGATAAGCCATTTGAACTCCTTTTTAACAAATTAATACAATCACTTTGTACATAGTATTCTCCAGATTCAATGGATTATCCAGAAAAGCTCACAAAGAAAATGAATCCATGGTAAATCATCCAGGCAGCAGGAAATATATTTATCAATCACTTCTTTATCCAGCAATTAAGCATACTTTTTTCTCTGTGAAGTGTGCAGAATAAAGAGTGAGATCTGGAAAATAAGCAGTAATCCTAAAGAACTGAGTTTCATTTTTCAATATATGACACTCATATACAATTGCTAAAGCATTCAATTTATTATCCATTCTTTCCAAAAGGATGACACTCAGGTGTCAATTTCAATGAGAAAAAGGCAGAAAAAGAATATGAAATAATGCCAATCATGATAAGGTACCTCAAAGTTGGAAATTCAGATTCTACAGAAGACTCAGCTGCATCCTGTCTGGATTCTGGATTGCGAAGATTTGGCGGATAAGATGTCAGAGGATGTGTTTGCGGGGGTGTTAAAACAGGTGCTGATCCCTCAGATCTTTGAGGGAATACAGCCCCAAGACGCTGAAACAATATTCAATAAATCTCAGAAAGTATAAACAAAATAATATCCTCGTAGGAAAATGACACAATAAAAAATCAAAATAGAAGGAATAGGATCCTTGCACAACATACCAATAAATCCTGGTATGCAACAAAATATTGAGGATATCTTGCCCTTGGTCCTCCAAAAGCTTCTTGCCAAGTATCTATCAGAACTAATACCTTCTCTTTTACATGGAAGTCAGGCTGTAATGACAGGTGGCATTCAGTAACAATGACTTCAAAATAATTGCGAAAAAGAAAAAAGACTACAGAACATGATACACAATAAAATACCTTCTTTTTGACAATTTTCACCATTTCACGAAGCACATCTTTCTCAGCAACATACGCATGGACAACTTCCCCACAATTCTTCACAATTGTCTCCAACAGCTAGAAAATTGTATAAAAACCAATTATATTACTC